AAATAGGAAAGGAGCTTGTCTGGGAACTCAAAAGGGAAGCGTGCTGGCATGTCTGCATGCACATTTAGCTCCGAGCTAAAACACAGGCACACAAGTGCGTCTTTACCACACCGCTGCTCCCTGTTGTGCAATTTGTTAGTGAACTTAAATGGACTCTGTGTGCAGAGGAAGGCCCCCTGAAACTGTCTGAGGTATGTGGTCAGCGGAGGAAGCGCTCGCAGACAGACGGGGAGAAAAAACAGGGAGGCATGATGCAGCACCAGCACAAACACAATAATTCTCTGCACTCCATAACCTCCATCCTCATCACCCCCACACCTCCATCCATCTCTTTTTACCCTGTTTTTTCTACCCACAAGAGTGCAAGACCAAAATGCAGTGATATCAGGTGTTGTTATGGAAACAGAGGACACCAAGAGAGAGAATAACATGGATTGTGTAATATACGTACAAAGACAAATGCATGCTTTTTGCAATTCTGCAGCGGTTCTACGTCTACACTGGAAAAACAATCTAGAAATGAGTAAAAATGTCTTAAATTAAGTGTATTTACCCTTAATTTGAGTAGGTAAATGAGGTAGTTTGCCAATGGAATGAGTATCTTTACACTTAAAAAAAGATTATTAGATAATATGCACTGAAAAAAGACAATGCAATCGTGTTTTCTTATTCTAAATGTAAATTGTCTTGGCAAAATGTCTCTTTTACCTCCTCAATCCAAGAACAAATGCATTTATTTTAAGAAAAAATGACTTATCTAGATTTCGATTTTTTTCCAGTGTAGGCGCTGGTATTTACTGATCCAAACTAACCTGGTAACCTCATCATGAATAGTCTGTTTTTCACATTAAAATATTGTGTCCCAAGACTAAAACTTCATGTGATTGCTCCAAACTAAAAACGTTAACAGCCTTTAGGAGGTAAGCCAGGGAGATGAGGACTGCTTATCACATCTTTTAAACATGTTTATTTCTTTTTCAAGGTCTCCAGTCACAATTCCAGCTGGGATGTTAAACTCAAAGCTACAATCACTCCAACATGGTATGACTTCACGAGGTAAAGTTTCAGCTTGAGATTTTACAGATTCCTGATGGCATCTTTAAGGTCGTTTTTCCAGTCTTCAGAGAGCATTCCAGATGGACTTTCTCACTGGTCAGGAAGTAGGCCTGGAAAAATGAGCTCAACTTTGCTCTTAAAATATATTTTAGTCGCAGTTCAAATATAGAGAACCTTAGAAAAAGTTGTAATGTTGAAATAGATTTATAAAATCTACTCATTCTGAACTTCTCAGAAGTATCCTTTAAAATGGTTGCATAAGCTGAATTATACAAGGACAATTAGACAACTCACAATTTTCCAAAGCTTAAAGGTATGGTGGAATGTCTTTTTTTGTTGTTTTTTTCCGAGTGGATCATCTAAATAAGTGGTTCTCCTAATTGTCAATCATTCTGGTGATATGTTTACCTAAGGCCATCCTACATGCTCCTCCCTTTAGCTATCTTTTTCTGCGTATGCACATTTTCATGCGTATATCTGTGGTGAGCTGCAGTTTCAGACAGTGATTGAAGCTCACCTTTCTCACCGCAATTCTTTGAAAATGGTCGAGGATCGCAAGAGAAAAAGTGTCTACAAAGTGTATAGGAAGAAAAGAAAGATCTAAGAAGAGGTAGATATATCCCGGAATGCTTTGCACGGAGAGCTCTCCTCGCAAAGCATTATGGGATTTACTGTCACAGCGGTCCACTGTCACCATAGGCTGTCGCTACCTGACAACGGCAACTAATAACAAAGATGGCGCAGGCACAGCGCGGTGGAAGAGGGGTTACATGACGAACAGGGAGCAAAAAGCAGTGATCATCTTTCCAAATGGTTAGTTAACTGAGTTCACTATAAAGTCCCCGCTCTATATAGTGATTAAGGTATTCAGGGGTTAGGGTGGACGTTCGGACACAGTAAGTTGGTATGAGCTGCGAGAACAGCAACTTTTAAGCAGAGCGTGCAGAAGGGAAAATGGGCTTTTTCACGCTGTCGCACGTGTTTAATAGGCGTTTGCTCTCAGGAGCGGGTACAGGGTTGTGCATGTGCATTTTTTGTTTTAAGTGGAGAAGGCAGGTCTTTTAAAAAATTTGCAAAAATCCTCCACTATACCTTTAAGTCCTGACTAAAGCTCTATTTATCTGATCCTGAAATGACCGCTACCCAGCAAAGTTTTCATCACACTTCTTTGTTGATATTTAATTTGTATGGTTTTACTTGGTATTGTCGACCATGCTGACACCTAAATAATGTTTGCATAGTACAAATGGCGTAAATACTCAAATATTCAAATTTTATAATTTTACTGGTACTTAATAAAAAGTACCTGAAAGTGATCAGAGCTTTTTTTTTTTTTTTTAAATGGACACCTGTCCCTATATAGTCAGAGCTCTAAAAATACTGCTCTGACCATTGTTTCAAAAAGTATGGCACAAGTTACAACAAGAAGAGTATTCCTACATTTCCACTCTTGGAAATGTTGTATATACAGCATAAGTGACCATTCCTATAATTTCCCCCAATTACTCTAGTTAACTAAGCAGATATATATCAGCTACCAAGCTTTTAATTTAGATTTACATTTTAGTTATTGCATTGTTATGCGTAACCCTGACATTTACCCTGTTACCTGTATATCCCTCTAACCTTAACCTAAAGTGAATTCTTACCACACCGCCTAACATGAACAATGGGGGTCTGCCACATTATGACCAGCCTGTTTATTCTCAGAAGGTTAAGAAATATGCCAAAACTGTCCTAAATAGCTAACATAAACAAATACAGACTCCCACACAACTGGCGTGAGCCACAGTGTGGAAACTACCAAAAGCCACACATTCCTTTTATTCATGCAAAACAGTTTTTCAAATTCAAAGAACAACCTAAGGGACATCTCTACAAAATCGGCTGGGTTAACCTTGAGAGCGTGCACGAGGAGAAATGGGCTCGTGCACGCTCTGTTTAAAAGTTTTTGTTTGTATCGTGCATACAAGCTTATTTCCCAAAAAAAGATTTGCACCATTTTCCACCATGTCAGACTCACCATCGGTAAGGACGGCCTTATGTAAACAAATCACCAGAATGATTGACAATTAGGAGGACCCCTTATTTTGATGATCCTCTTCTATCATTTTTCGTTATTTTTCTACTTCAATTTCTGGGTTAGTTTCTCATGAGTTCTCTCTACTTGTTCATGTCACCTTCACCCAAATATCCCTATAGTGGGAAAATAAAAGGCATTTTTGTACTTCTTTAAAATCTTGCAGACACACATTCTTCACACAACATAATATCAAAGAGATGAGTTTTGTTTTTTTATTATCCAACTCTAAATTAAATTCCTTTTACAAAGCTGTTTACTTGTAACACTGCACTGATTTAGGGAAGAAACATCCCTTTTTTTGCCACAGTCCCTTATTTTTCTTATTATTGAAAATAGTATATAACTTTCTACGTTAAATAACTTGAAGTATTGCAGATAAGGGGCCAATTGAATAAATTCATAAATGTACCACTCATCTCTTAAAATGTATTACAATCATTCATAATGATTTACTTTCATCGCCTTTTACAGCTGCTTTTTGTATCTCTGCTTCTGTCTCCTTGAACCCCAGTCGGCCTCAGCAGATGGCCGCTCACACTGAGCCTGATTGTGCTGGAGGCTTCTTCCTGTTAAAAGGGAGTTTTTCCTCTCTATTGTCGCCACAAGCATGCTTAGTGTAAGGGATTGCCTTTGAGTCAATGAGTCGATGCAATCTACTGGTTTTCCTTAGATAGAAAACTTTGAATCAATTTGACTGTATGATTTGGTTAACTGTAAAGTGCCTTTAGATGACATGTGTTGTGAATTGGCGCTATAGAAATAAAAATAAACTGAATCTTAGAATTTACAAAAATTACAGAATGCTAGTTTTTCTTCCTAGTAATCTGTTTTTTCTCGTTATCACCTGGTTATTGTAGAGACATTTTGAGGCCTGATTCAATATGAAATGATTTAGTTTCTCTTATAAAGCATGAAGAAAACACGGATACAGAATTACACAGTGAGAGAATTATATAAAACGCTTTCCAAAAAAAAAGGAAGACAAAAAAAGTGACCCCATAACATTTATTTTCCCTGATGGAGTTCTTACAGCTGGAACGCGGTTGCTAGGCGACGGGTTAGCCTATCCTAGCGGTTCCTGCACGTTTTACCTTGAAGCGCAGCTTTCTGTTTACAAGGATCTGTTTGCTTTTTATTATTATTATGACTCCGCATCCGAAGGGGAAGGAAAGCGACCCGTTAATCGGTCCATCCTCCTGACGCCTGGGCAGGAGGCGGAATTGTGCAAGTTGACTTGGCAGGCGCTTCGCAGGCCGACATCTGGAGCGCATTACGCTGCAACAGAGACGTGAAGCCATGGGGTCGGTGCGCGGATTTTCCCCTGGGTGACAAACTACGTGTCATCAGTGGATCTTTGTTTTCTTTTTCGCTTTTGATGATCTGACACCTCAATTTAAAAAAGGGTAAAACTGGAGTTTAAGCATCCTGATGTGTGCAACATGAGGGGAAGGCCTTACATTCACATACAAAGGGAGGGGGGGTTAAAAACCAAGCAAAAAAAGGCACAGAGATGGCTTTAAAATCCATATGTTTGACGTTATGAGTTTAAATAACCCCCAGCTGCGGATTTGCAGAGGAATGCAGCGCAGGAGGCTTGATAGTTTGATGCGCTCCGGCTTGCGTAACGTGGATAGGTGGCTTCAGACCCAAAACCCAGTAAAATAAAGCTACTCAGTGTTTTTCATTTAAATGCGTGATCAAAGGAGGGGATTTAGATTGGAAACCTGCGCTCAAGACCATTTCCAGCTGGGAGGGAAATGTAGCTCCAGGCTGGAGCCACGCACAGCTCTGCGGGGCTGAGTAGCTGTTACCACGGCTCTGTTCACTCCTACCCTGCTCAGGAGAAGCGCTGGTTTCTTACCTGCAGCCGCTCAGACGCAGGTTGCCACATATTCGCAGAGTCGTTGGTTCTCTCTCCGTCTCTACTTCAGGCTTTTCTCCTCCCGCAGTCCGGTTTACATCTGTTGGCTTTCACAGCTTCCCTCTGTGTCCCTCTTCGCTGCGGTCTGCTCAGTAATGAAAGATGTGTTGCTCCGCCTGGATGTAGTTAACACACTCCCCAGCAGGTGGCGGTACCTGCTATTTATTGGTCGGATGCTGCATTCAGGTACTGCAGGAAAAATTGAGCTATTGACAGCGTGTTTCTATTTAACTTTTTGAGCTATTTTTTGTAAGATAATTTATCCACTTTATTATATATTGTTATTTTACAAAAATAATTTCACTTTAAAATAAGTCATAATTCATACAAAATAAACAGGGATCAAGTTTGGCTCCAAGTAAGCTCAGGTCAATTAGGTTTATTAAATATTTAAGTAAAGTTCTGATTAAAAGCAGGCCAAGCTTTGAGGGAAGCTTGGGCAAAGGTGCATAATCTATACGTTTCCTTCCACTTCCCAATTAAACATTCATACTTAATGTTGGCCAATGAATCACTTTAAATCCTAAAAGAATACATTTAGCCCAACTTTATTGAGAAAGTCTCACGAACCACAGATAAACACCTTTGCAATAGATAGATGTTTTTACTTTGTGCTTTGGAGATTATGGACATTTTTCTCACCCTTTCATGCATTAAGCCTAAACTGTGAAATGTCCACTCAATACATTCGATATAATCTTGTGTAAAGTTACCTATAAGTTTATAGAATTAATTAAAGAATCTTGCTGATAATCCAAGTCATAAAGTAGAAAACAATTTGTTTTCTTTGGGCTTATACTAAAGAGGATCAGGGCTACTGGAGAAAAAAAAAAGTCTCTAAAACAGAGAAACAGAATTCAGACTTCATTCTCAGAATTCTGCCTTTTTTCAGAATTCTGACTGAATTCTGACAGCTAACAAACATGTTAGCATTAAGACGTAGCCGTGTCTGTTTTAGAGACTAGTTCTCTAGTTTTAATCACCTTCTGCTTTTCCATTAGTGAAATAGCATCACAGGTGACCCCTCGGACATGTAAAAAGTTGCATAATTGCGTAATTTTCCACCAATGTGTTACTGGCCCTCCAAACAACTCACATCTTTGTCAGTGAAGCTGGATGCTCCCACATCTCTTCTTCATGGGGCCCATCTAGATTAAGATCCACAATTCTGAGATTGAAGTCAGAATTCTGACTTTTGTTCTCAGAGTTCTTACTTTAATCACAGAATTTTGACTTTAATCTCAGAATTCTGACTTTTTTCACAGAATTCTGACAGCGAACAAACATGTCAGCATCAAGACGTAGCCATGCCTGTTTTAGAGACTAGTTCTCTTGTTTTAATCACCCTCTGCTTTTCCATGAATGAAAAAGCATCACCGGGGACCCCTTGGGCACATAAAAAGTCGCTTAATTCCGTAGTTTTCCACCATTGTGTTACTGGCCCTCTCAAACAACTTACATCTTTGTCAGTGAAGCTGAGTGCTGCTCCCACATCTCTTCTTCATGGTGCCCATCTAGATTAAGATCCAGAATTCTGAGATCTAGATTAAGATCCACAATTCTGAGATTGAAGTCAGAATTCTGACTTTTGTTCTCAGAGTTCTTACTTTAATCACAGAATTTTGACTTTAATCTCAGAATTCTGACTTATTTTTCCCCATATTAAACTGAAATGATAGGTAAAATTCAGTTAACCATTTTTTTTTTTACTTCTTCAGTGGCCCTTATCCTCTTCCGTAGGCTTGAGCTTGTTTAAATACTCTTTTTTTTTTTTTTTTTTTTGCTTCTACAAGTATACCAGTAATTTATTTCAACTGGTGGATTATTGAATCTCTGTGGCTATACTTCCATAAAATATTGACATGAAAAAAAGTCTTTCTCAATTAGATTTATTTGGCCTGATCAGCAGAATTAACCAAAATGTTACCTGAAGAATGTGTTGTTTCTTGTTTCATGAATGCTGTTTGTAAACAAAATAGGTTATATTCACAATTTCTTATCAACTAAGCTTTTAAAAATCCTGTTTGCAGTTGGGTTAGTTCTATTGTTCTAAAAGTGAAATTTGTTAGCGTTTGTACAGTATAACAGTAGGGCAGTTCTTTAGCTTAAACAGTTTTTAAGGCAAATATAAGTTGGAATGTCAATATTTCTTCTAAGGACAAATACTTTGAAAAAGTAAATCTCTCAGAGGACTGCAATTAAAGCGGAACAGTCTAACCTGCCGTAGCATTCAGAAGGCAAAGGTCAAGGACAGGTTCTCAAAAACAGACCTAAGGATAGGTGAGAACGATGAAACATATGTTCCCCTTGGAATGAATGTGTACTTGTTTCCAGACAAAACACACCTTGGTGTTCTCAGAGACACAAGAGTCGCAGTCTGTATTTAGCAATGTTTACATGAAGAAACATCTGGACAAGGCCTGAGGTCAGCCGGGATGTTCACATCACCACCACTCCATAAATGGCCTTTCCCACAGGCTACGGCTCTGAAGTAGGAAAATAATGTTGAAGGTTAGGATTTATGTTAACAAGAACAGCTCATCAAACCACAGACTGTGTTTTATAGAATTACAATTAAATATAAATGTGTTATGAATCACTAAAATCATGAGGAATGATGTTCCTCTTAAAATCTGTAGATTCACCATTGAAAGGTTTTTTTTTTTTTTTATTTACAGTTAATCAGCCTGTCTTACTTTCTTCATCATCTTCAATACAAATGCACTAAGAAACTCTTTAAAATGGTGAATCATACAGAAAGTTGAACTAAGTATGATCCCAATCTACATGGCTGCCTGATAGGTTTTTGTTTTATATAAACCATGACGTAAAACTCACACAGAACACAATGAGATAAGATTGAGTACTTTATTGTTTACATTATTCAACATAGATAATAGGTAATCATGTCATAACTGTGTGTGAAATGAAAAAAAAATACGATTCACGGCGCTCGTTGGTACACTGTCTGACCTTGACGGGAACAATGTAGCTGCACAGACAGAAAGCCTCCTACTGGCAGAGACACACAAGCACAAAAAGGATGTTCTGGAATAGATACCTTCTTCATCAGTTTCCTCCTCTTCGCTCTGCTCCACAATGGTTTTAGAGTGTCCAAATTCACAAAGAAACGTACGTACTAAAACTATTGATTACAGTCGGGAAGAGAGGTGAATCTGTACACTGGGATTAGCAGGTACACTCAGTGAAACCAACTATTTTTTTGTGCAGTGAGAAATATATCCACCTATTGTCCTATATATCACTGAAATACATAGAGTAAGTTTGCAGGGTAGTTCTAGTAAACCCGTTTACTTTACTATTCATACACCACTGAGAAACTTTTATAGAACAGGACAAATATAAAAAGAAAAACCCTGTAACTAGTATCTTATACATGTGCGGACTTTGTCTACTAACCACAGCATACTTAAATAAAACATTTGGCACAGCCTGGACGGAGAATAATACATCTGCATTTACAGTGCCATCCAAAATTATTGCCACTTTTCTTCAAGACAGTTAAAAAGGAATTAAAACATTTATCTTTTACTGCAGTAACATTACCTGACACAGAAAAATGAAGAAAATTCCTAAATTGAATCAGAATATATTTATTCAGCAGGGAAAATATCTGTGTTAAGCAACAAAAGCTTCTAAGCAAGTTTAAAAGCGATAACATAACTTCAGGTAGCATGAATATGGGGGGAGTTTTAAAGGTAGGAAAAGGGTAACAGTTGATACTTGGTTAAACTATGCCATATTTTTTATCACATTTTGACCTGCTTGACAGGTTGATGTTCCAATTATACCTGAAACTGAGCAATAACATTAGGGCGGTGAAAAATAATGAATCTCCAAAGCTCAGTGTTTAGCAAAAGGATGCATCTGGTGGCCCCTAAATTTTTATTAAAGCTACTTAATGTGGCTAAATGCTAACAAACAATTAGCATTCAGCTGTTTTTTAAATGCAAAGTGATTACCTGACTGGTATGGCAGGAAAAAAATTATATTTTTAGTCATTAAGAGAAAAGGAAGCACATGAAATGAGATATACAACTAAAACTTTAACTGTAAGCCTAATAGCAACAAACATTATCCTAACTCTGCTGTAAATCAAATTATGAAAAGCCTCTTATGGCCACTTTTAAATTTCTAGGATGCTGTGGGCCTGTTTCTCTTTGAAATAAGTTTGACATTTTGAACTTCTATATGTCAAAAATAATGAGATTTTATTGAAATAATCTGATAATCTCTTATAGAAAAATAAAACCAGGTTTTTAATTAGTTTTTTTTTAACAACATGAAGTATGTTGCAGGAATATTAGAAACGCTTGGATTTTTATACTATTATTTTCTAGTCTCTAGAGTATAGACTATATATAGTCTATACTTTTCATTTAGCCTGCATTTCTGAATGATAAATGTTTTTTAAGTGATTGGATGTAATGTTATAATTTTAATTTTTTTTATATATATATATATATATATATATATTAGCTGTAAGCATAAAATTATTTTTAACAAAGATTGAAGCCACCAGCAATGTAAAAAAATCTATATATTTTACTTAATTGATTTAATTGAATCCTTGAAATCTTTGACATTTTCAATATTTTATTTCAACAAATAGGTCTGTGTTTCAGTACTGCAATAAAAGATTATTTCCTTTTAACCCATTTAATACATCTTTAACAGCTGTTTCAATAAATATGGGAGGCAGTTTAAAATAAAATCTAGATACATCTAGGTACAAAGAATTTGCAATGTTGCAAGGAGAACATCAAATTTAAGCATGCACAAAGTAAGGCAACCTACTGCAGGTGTTGGATTTTTGGATACTAAAAAAGAAAACTAAAAAAACAAAGCATTAATTGTGGTTATTTCTATAACACTTCAAAGGACTGCGGTTGATGCCCTCTACTGCATTTACTTGTTGGACCTCGCCTAAAGATCAGATGTCTGGTTTAAACTAAAATCAGCTATTAATTGTGCAGCACAGCTTATTTTTAATGTTGCTTATCATCTGTGACTTAAAAATATTGCAAAGTATGCTACTACAAAGCCTTATCCTCAAGAAAATAGACACGGTATCAAACTCCAGGTTTGTTTCTCTTTAGCTACAGTGTGTTTCTTTTATTTCTTTACATTCAAATGTGATTTGCTCTTACGTTTGTTTTAATAAAAGCTTTCATTTTAATAGACATGTGAGTTTGTATTTGTGTATGCACATTACATACAGCTTGTCATGTTTTAAGAAGGAGTTTTACAAATCCTTTGTCTTAATGAGGGTGACCAAAGGTTTGTCATCTGGACTGTAGTCCTCGTAGGCGATGGGGGTAGCGTCGTACATGGCAGGCCGTGACTTCTTACCAAATCTAAGGAGAAAGCACAAAGTGGGTTAATGGTGAGAGGATGATGTAATAAAAAAGGCTGAATAAAAACAGAAAAGTGAGATAGAGAGGATGTAAAGGCCAAGGCTTTCAAATGAAAACCTGCAAACTGCTTTTCCTCATTTTGTATTTTGCAACACCATAGAAATGACGAAGCCATATGATTTTATCAGGCATCTGTTAACAGCATCATAAACCACTTGAAGACTGCAAGGTCTTTGTTTGCTCATTCAAATTTCTGAGATGATCGTTGTTACTAAACACACCATCTTTGTGGGGACTTTCCACTGACTTCAATTAATTTCTACAGCCTAACCGTAAACCTTACCCTACCTCTAACCATTACGGGTCCTACCTAAGCCTAACCTAAACTCAGTTCAAGCCTTAACGTGACCCCTGACCCAAAAACAGCAATTACCCGTTTAGAGTCCAGGCATCGGACCCCACAAGGTGCAGTCAATCCCCACAATCTGCCACGTTCCCTGAAAATTAGGGCCAATTTTCAGAGGAAAAAAAAGAACACACAAACTTAAGCCTTAGGTTAAGAGTTGGGCCAGCCTTTGCACCTAAAGCAGGAGTGTGTTTATGGGACTATTTGAACAACGCACAGGTGTATTTATGAGGTCAGAGGCTGATGTAGGATGAAAGGAGCAGGTTTTTAAATCATCAGTGTAAATCTTCCCAAAAGTAAGCAATTGGTTTGAAGCCAGAGTTCATACAGACCAAAAAAGATCCTCCCCACCATATTTGCTCATCATCTTAATGGACCAGTGTCCATTAAGATGTTTTTGTGGACTGCTGTGCAGTTATGTTGAAACAGAGAGGAGACGTCCCTAAATGTTTCCTGCAGAGTCAGAAGCATGACATAGTCAAAAATGTTCTAAGGGCAATAATTGCCAACAGCTATCGACACTGACAACCACTGGTTAAAAGAAACCTTTGAGTTACTGCAACATTTAATTTTTGGATGTACCTGTTGTGTACAGCCATGATAACCTTTTGCATAAAGATATAAACTGTTTGCACCTCAGTTAAAACTGCTCCTGCTACAGTTCCAGTTGTTCCCAACTGTTCTCCTGAACTTCCACTACAAAATGTTAATTGTAAAATTAAAGAAATGTTATTTATTGCACAAGTATCTTTAAAAAATATCTCAAGAGCACCCTTTGGTACAGAGATGCTTACCTACCTGTCTTCATTGACACAGTTTTATTATAGTTTAAACAGCTTGTCTTGTTTTTGTGTGCAGAAATATTCAGACCTATTTTGCACTTTTTTCAATTATGACCTTGAAAAGAAAAAACTCAATCAGTTAAACTGTAGTTTCGACTGAAAAAAGAGAAACAAATTGTGTCTCTGACAGATTACAAGTGAAGGCTTAAATCTAAGCTAGTTCCTCTGTGTTAGGTGAAGACACAACATTGCTTCATCATGTGAGCTTTGCTTTTTTTTTCTTACTGAAATCATTCACCTGTTAGGCTAAAAAAAGCAAGAAAAGAAAGTCATTAAAAGTAATATTAATCACATTCATCTAGATGGACAGATAACAAACATGAAACATGAAACATGAACTATATAAGTGTATTGGTTGAACACTTCTGTGAGTTACTACATGCCTACCTGGCATGGCGGATGGAAGCAATAGCATTACTGAACTCGCTGTCAATGCTACGACAGTTGTAGAACTCCTGGTAGGCGTGGCGTGATGATCCCTGGTACTCGATGCGGCTGATGCGGCAGATGCCCACGATAAGGATGATGAGCATGAGAACGAACGCCACACACAGAGCTCCGATGATGATGTAGAGCGAATGGCGGGGCATGTTGGTCAGGCTGTCCTCAGTGTGTGCTGGTTTCCACTGTAAGTCTGAAACACACAAAGGAAGGTGTTGAAGTCTCTGCCTGCCGTTTTAATCTATAGCCTAAAAGACTTTTTCTGACAGGTCGGCTTACGGATTTCACAGTTGGGGCCGACCCACCCAAGCGGGCAGTGGCAGGTGTATCCGTTTGCCTGGTCGATGCAGGTGCCGCCGTGGTGACAGGGGTTGCTTTCACATTCATTGATGTCGACCTCACATTCCTCCCCTGAGCAGACAGGTAAGGTTACAGTCAGAAGGGACTAAAACCATAAAGCCAAGGAGGGAAAGTGGTCTGCTGTCTGCTATCCAGCCGGTCAATACTCAGTGGCTGTCAGACATTTTGTCATTTCTTTAGCTTGAGAATAATTATTGCTCTATTTAGTTTTAAAGATTTTATGCCATATGGGATTCTTTGATATATGATACTCTGGATGCCAAGACACCCATAAATATTTGTTTTTTACATCACTTTAAAGGCCTTTTTTTGACATCACAGTGGGTGGAGAAAGTTGCTCAGGGTTCAGATTGCTAATATTTTAACTAAATACTAATGGGGTATAAAACCAGGCCAATCCGAGACCACATCTACTGAGAACTACCTCCCCACAAGAATGTTTGAATAGAGTTGTGTTGTTTATATATTAATCTAATAGTGTGTTAAACAACTGCATCTCCGTGACACCCAATCTGCAGTTAAAAGGGCCCCGGTGAGCGAAGGGTTCCCAATCATTTTCGCTTCTGACCAACAAAATGGCACCAGAATGGTCTCGTGAGCCAAACTGTGGTTAGAATACAAACATTAAATTGTTAACCATAGATATAATAGTAATAAAAACAGAATTAACAACCTCTGTGCATTTGGTTTAGTCTATTAGTAAGTGATAAAAAATCATAATTTTTGCTTTTTAGTTAATTTCTCTAAAGAACTACAAGACCCCGTGCTTGTTGCTCTGTTATCTCTTATGGGGTCATGAGCCAAACGTTGAAAATCAGTGCTGTAGAGGAAAATGAGCTGAGCGGTTTGGACTATAGTGAGCCCCTACCCTCTGCTAAGGAGCAGTTTTTAGTTTTTTTTTAATACTTCTCACATTTTTTTACATGAACTTTAACCAGGCAAACTGTGCCAGAACAACAAGACAGAAGCAACAAGCTGCTGCACAGCTTTCCCCCGCAAGCTGTTAAAATACTTCTCTAAGGACATCATTATAACAGATTTATCAAATGTTTTTTTCTGTTATCTGTTTGACTGTTTTTCACAACAATATGTCAGATCAGAGAGAAATCTAAACCAAAAATAAACAGTAAAAAAAGATGTGTTTGTTTTTATATTTGTTAGCATCCATAATGTAATTTTATGTTCTATATTGTTTTTGTTTAATCTTTGTTATATGAATATTAATTTCCATTTTATTCTTATTGTTTATAATTTACCATATAATTTTGAATGCCAGCTACTTAAGCTGTTATGAATTTCTGTTCCTTAAAGATTTTTTGTTTCATTTCTGAAGGCTTTTAGTACTAGTAGTGATATTTTGTAACTGTGATGCTTCTTCTGATAATTCTGTCTTTTTTGGCAGCAGCTTCCATGGTGTTACATTTCTTTGTCTGTTTATTTTGTCTGTCCTCAGCAGTCCCCTTTTCTCTATGTAACATTTTCTGAATTTGTTTTAGTGCATTTTGGAATCTTTCGCCTTATTGGACCCTTTCAACATAGGCCAAATGAAACCATGCCTTGGTCCATCCAGGACATCAGTTGCTTACCTTCATATCCGGGTGGACATGCACAAGAAGCATTAAGTCCACTGCTTTCACAGCGGCCTCCGTTCTGGCAGCGTGTTTTCACACAGGGATCCTTGTAGATCTCGCAGTGCCTGCCTGCAGAATGCACACATAAAGGGAACTTGCAATAATGCATCGTTCTTTCCGTAATAGTGTAGTGACCTACATTTGGTTGTGCATACCTTCAAACTGTGGAGTGCAGACACACTCGTAGGCATTAATGAGGTCCCTACAGGTGGCGTAGTTCTGGCAAGGTGCAGACAAACACTCATTGTACTCCTCCTCACAGTACAAGCCGTGGTAGCCTAAAAAGAAATCCAAGGTTGTTGTAAGAGTCCTAAAAAAACATGCAATCCTGCGACTTTAAAGTTGTTTTTTAGAGGCTAGATAAGAAAGGTGTGTAAGGCTGTGCAAATTTTGTTTTGTATAGTTTGTTTTTTTTTAACCTTTATTGAAGGTGTTTAAATTAATCTAGTTAAGAATTCAAAACTGCTCAAGCAACATTTCTCCTTTCACTTATGACGTGTTTTGTTTTTGTTTAGATGAGTGTCATGATAGCTATGGGATCAGAACATTGACAACCTTTCTCCTTCATGACACCATTGACTACCTTGTAAACTCCTTATCAAAACAAAAATATTGATTGCAGTAGAGAAGCAGCACAGATTTTAAACAGGATTGGTCCAAATATGTATTTCAGTATCATATGCAGTGCACTGTATCATCCATAGGATGGCAGCTGTGTGCTAAGGCACTACGGGGCTTAGACAACTACTAACACCACCTGAAAAAAATCAGAGCCTATCATGCTTTATCCTTTTAATATCAAAAAGTGTGACATGAATAGTGTCCTCTGGTAATACCAATGGAGTTTGTGTGTGTGAAAGAACTGCAGTAAAGCTGGTGAAGTCAGGTATGAGCTTGAGTACATGCACTGCTTTTAAACATATTTATAGGTCATTAGCTTTTTGATATCTTGTCACTTTACAGCCAAGAACCATGTATTTTATTGGGATTTCATTTGATAGACCCACGTAAAACAATTCCTAACTTTGATGTGGATTGGAAAAAATAGTGACATTCAACATTTGTGAGATGCGGCATGAATTGCTGTTCAGCCTTGCTTACTCCGATACTCTAAAATGCAAAATAAGCTACAAATGGTAAATAGCTTTTCCCTCGTTCCATTTCTTTTTGTCAGATTAAATCCAGCTGTTCTATAAAGACCCCTGTTCTTTGAAACAGTCTCATCAATGCACAGCAGCCCAGTCCGTTTAATGCTGCATCATGCTGTGAACAACTCATGGAAAACTGGTTAATCCATTATCCTCGACTGAAAAACTCAACAGGACCTGGCTGTCAAGCTAAGTTGAAAGGAAATCTAAGACAGCAATAATTAAAGAAGCAGCCAAGAGGTCCACAGTTACCCAGGAGGAGCTGCAAAGATCCACAGCTCAAGTGCAAGAAGTTGCTGACATCGTGCTATAGAGAAGTGTTGTTTCAGTGCAGATAAATGTGCAGCTTGACAGGAAGACAACTGGAGCTTAATACAGAGCAACCTGAGAGACTACTGGCTTCGGTTAAAGCTTCCCCAGCCTTAAATATACAGCTAGAAATATAATGAAATAAATGAATGAATAACTTTATCTTAAACAATCTAGTGAAATTAAAAATTTAACACATACAGACATTATGTATAATTTATCATATATGTTATTACATTATATGCATAATTTAATGCTTAGATCTGAAAAGGGGTATGACGATGTAAAAACTTATTTAACCCCACTTCTTCTCCTTCCCATAGTCCTTAATACCAACAATCTTCCTGATTCCTATTTTATTTATGAGTCTATATTACTCCAAAGTTCATCAAGTGAGCAGATAAGTTAATTTATGTACATATATGAACACATTTGCATCTGCCTACACACATCTTGAATGAAACAATAACTACCCATAACCGACACAACCACAACCATTGCAAAAATAATAATACACCCTCCATAGAGACTAAACATACCCATCGTTGTTTACTTCTCTTTTACAATCGTATATCATTTTAAGAAAACAATATGGCTTTTATTAGATCACATATGTTAGAACGACCTAGTCAAAATTCAGATATAAGTCTAATTAAAAATAAGCATAGCTGGAATGGATATACCACAAAATACTTTATATACTGTAAAAGATGTTTTAAAAAGAGGGAATTGAAACAATTACATGGTCTATATTTGTAAAATTATCAAATACTTTTAACCTATAATCATCAAGTTCCCCCAAAAACACATTGAAGTTCTTAAGATGACAAAATGAAAAAGTTTAAGGTTTCTAAATTCCTAAGCATTGCACTGCAGCCATCTATTTTCATCTCATCCCTTTTCTCAGCTGCATCCCATCACCTGACTGAGGATTCAGCAAGCTCTCCTATGGCCCTGGCTAATGTATGTTTGAGGGAAGCAAGAGAAACAGACTTAATGAGAAGCACAGCTAGATCCTCTTGTGTCTCCTCTGTGAAATGCCAGTGAAATGTCAAGTGCCTTTCCAGGACTCTGTCTGCTGTCTGTGAGCCGACTGCGGGTTGCAGCAGCCCTTCGTGTCAGTTGGATTACACAAACTGGAAGATGGCCCCACTGCATTATCATCTCTCTGGCAGCTCCCTCTTAAACTACAAGCAAGCACAAGCAAATCACACACATGCGTGTGAAGGCTCTCTGACACACTAGGATTCTCACTCACCAGCTGAGATCCTCATGAGCTGGAGAAACAGTTTTACCTCATGTTGTGTGTGTTCATTTGAGAGACCGGAACAATAATTACAAACCATCAATTTTCCCAGTCTCATTAAAGAGGGCCTTGATTGGACGGTAGCATCTTCTTGTGCAACACACACATGGACACACACGTATAAAATCAGGCACCTCACCATGGCAACCAGACAAAAGAGGATGGGAGTGTAATGAGGTGAGGTAAACAAAGGGAAGATGAAGAAGGACAAAAGGACAAGGGGAACAGAGCAAAAATGAAGGAATGAAAAACCAGAAAAAAATCAGGGGGACGACGTATCAGAACATTTGGAAAACAGCAGATGCTCGCTTTGCATATGAACTTAGATGGATCCCAGTGTGCTGAAAATAAAATAAATTATTAAATGGTTATTGAACCAAAATTGCAACAGTTCACCAATTTCCTAAGAAGCCCTTCCAGCCAACGGGTGATTTATCAAATAACTGCCAAATAAATCCCAGTCGAGGGAAGCATTTAACTCCATTGTTGGTTCTTCAGCCACAAAAACAACAACAGAAGCAACTCTTTTGATGATGAGTATAAATATGAGTCAGAGAGGGAAATTCTGACTGCTGTATATACTCCACTGACAGCTTGTATAAACCGAGAACACTCAGGGCAAAGTGTCAAATTATGTTTATAGGCCACTGAGAAAGCCATCCATCTCACCATCCCAGAAAGGTAATTGCAAGATGGTGGATAATGATAAGTCATCATTCCACCCAATTTATTTTATCACAGAGGCATTGGCAGCACAAATAATGTCAGCTAAAAATACCTCATCTTTGAGGCAAGCAGTATTTCCCTCTGCAGAGTCTGAAGTAGTGCTACTAACCAGAATATTTTTTACGTAACACTTTATCAGCCACTTCCAAGCTAGTTCTGGTACAAAGATGGAGACCCACTCAGACAGAGGGTCTTATAGATAAAAGGTTGAGCTCTAAATCAGAATGTAAAACTAACGACCACTGATGACTTTGATGCCATTTTTGGAAAAAGGCGACAATCTGAATATCCCTGTTAAGAAAACTGTACAGAAAGTTGAAAAGTAAAAAAATGTTTCAGGGATAATTATTTTACACCTGAAGTCTTTTAGAATAATGCGGTTGATTTCTTCTTTGTAGTGCTGTATTGCCCTCCATATATATATTTATTGCTTTTGCATTTTTCATCTATCCAATTTCCATCACCCTTATCCCAGTTGGGGTCGCAAAGGGTGCTGCTGCCTATTTCCAGCTATCAATGGGCGGGAGGCAGGTTCACCCTGGACAAGTCACCTGTCTATCGCAGGGTAACACAAAGACAAACAGGAAAGACAACCACTCATGTGGTTTAGAGAAGCCAATTAACCTAACAGTCAGGTTTTGGGACTGTGGGAGGAAGCCGGAGTACCCAGAGATGCACAGGGAGAACATGCAAACTGATGCAAAGACCCTGGGCCGGGAACCGAACCGGAAGCCTTCTTGCTGCAAGGCAGCAGTGCTACCCACTGCCGCACTGTGCAACCGGCTTTTGCGTTATTAATTATTAATGGAGGAGTATTGATGTTTTCATATCTGACAAAAACAACTGAAGTCAAGACAAAATGCGTAAAGACAAAAACGTTCCTAACCAAATAAAAAGCAATATTCTTAACTTATTTATCTGCTGGGAGTAACCCATTTCTTCAGTCACTGATTTTCATTTATCTTAGCTATGAATTAGAGAGAACCTGTATAACAACTTGAAGTTGACTCACAGAACACAAAAGCAAATTGTGAGACACAAAGTCACTGATATCCATCAGCCCAGAAGGATTTAAAAGACGAGACACCTTTGAGGGTTTAAGACTCCAGTTGTCATGTGGGTTTGAAGTTGAAAAATCTTATGACGAATGAATGAATTTTAAGTATTTTATTTACAAAAGCAACAACAATCTGGATGCGGAGAACTGCACAAAGTCAGTTGAACTTTCTGGATGGTCTGAAGGGCGAAAGAAGATTGATCAGGAAATAGTTGATTGATGAAAACCGATGACTGATTGATTTGCTTACTTGAGGAACTGCTCAACACAGGTAAGACCTTTTCCATGAAGTTGAAACTGAGGTTCAGTGATTGTCTGGAACAATAACAAAGTCCACATTAAAAGAGATAAAAAAAAAAAAAAGATATTCCTGGTTTAGGTCTTCGGCTGGAATGCCATCAGGGGTATTCATCGGGCGAAAAGAGATGATCCTTTGCCTTCTTACATTCACGCTAATAATCTTGATTGAGAAAATGTTCTCAGGTGGGCAATAACAGAGATGTGAATAAGATAATGAATCTTTAACTGATCCGGCAACTGGAGGCAAACCACAGAGTGACTGAGCACTGCCTGAATTTCAAATGGGCCGATAAATCTGGGAGGGAGTTTGTGATTAGAAGTCTTTACATTAATGCCATGAGTTGATAGCTAAAACTTTTGCCCAGGAGAGTACTAGGTAGCAGGAATCCTTACCCGATCGGCCAGTCGAGGATTTGTTTCCACTGACTGGTTCAAGGCAGGAAACATAATTTTACAGACCCTTCTGCAGCGTGTGAATGTGGTGTTTGGCAGGGGTAACAGAAATGTCCTGAACAAAGGCAGCTGGGGATGCTCGAAGCTCCTGGTTCATGCATTCGGATTGACCATTAGTTTGGAGATGAAAATCTGAACTGAGAGCAGTCTGGGCCCAGAAGTACAGTAGTATGAAACTCCTTCCAGACCTAAGAGATAAATTGTGGACCCCTGTCTGATTTCACAAAGGATTCTGTGAAGGCGAAAAACATACTTAGTCAGGATCTGAGCTGTCTCAAGGAAGGATGGAAGTCAATGAAGTGGGATGAGGTGGCAGGCTTTGGAGAAGTGGGCGATTTATAGTGAGGATGGTAATAGTCCGGTAACAAAATCCAAGGCACTATCAGAACACGGATGTTTAGTGATAGGCAATGGTTGAAGAGGAACATAGAGTTAATCAGGAACATAAACCAGGTTCTGGGGTACGGGGCAGACCACTGAGCCACCAGGACTTGATCCCCTATTTCCAACGGTAAAGCCACAATGCAGGAAGGTTGAATGACGTTCAAGATTTTTGGTTTCTGATCAGTGGAGTATTGCCTAAACAGAGCAACGGCTTTGGTGTTTTTTTTAGAGCCTGGGCTGTAAGTGATGTTGCAAAAAGAAAAGGAAAAGAACAGAGACCAACATGATTGTCTAGACATCAGCCTGTGACCTCGAACTCTAGTAAACTGGTAGAATAGGGCAGGGCAATGATACCAGGCACACCATCAGACACAGCTTTGAATGAATTAAAGAGAAATTTACTTCATATGAGGCTTCATATTAGAACAGAAAATTAACCTTTAAGATCCTCGCTTCAAGCGCTTTACTAAAGGGCAATTATTTAAGCAGTGCTGAATAAACCTTTATCTAAGAATTATATAGCTATACATTTTACTCTATAAAATACATTAAAACAAGTTCATTTTTCAGGAAAAGCTTTAGAAATTCTTTGCAAAGATCAACTCAAATTACTCAGAACATTTGTACAATACTCTGCTAGTGTCTAAACAGAAATAAAATTAACTTTCAATTCAGTTTTTCCACATTTATTTGAGTACACCCGATTGAAATGACTATTTATTTTCTGTGTGTCCTGTTTTGCAAATATACCTCTGGGAATCAATGTCCCAGAGCTAGATGATAGCCCAACAGATTTGCTCTTACAAGCAGACCATTATGTTTGTAGCTATAAGGTTCCGCTTGGTACTTGTATATGAAACTTTATTAAAAATCATTTAGGAAGTAAAATTGTATACGACGGAGACAGAAAGGGATGTGAAAAAAGAAAGAGGGTATAAGAACTTAGGGGAGAGAGAAAGAGGCAGGAAAGAGTGCATGGAAAGATAAAATAAAACAAAACAGCAAAATTAGACAACACAGAGAATAGAGAAAATATACAGTAACTCCTAGAAATCTGATCCCACAACTACATAAGAGAAGGAAAAAAAAACAGGGATTAAAACAACAGCAAAAAGAAGACAACCAAATTAAACATCAAAATAGCTTAAAGAGCAAGGGTTTTCCTTATATATCCATGTGTGTGGAAAACAAAACATATGGTGATTACACATTATTCAGGGTGGTATATAACTATACCTGCAGCTTAATATTTAGTATTAGTGTGTATCTGTGAACACCTGGAACCAAACCTCCATGGTAAGTATGCATGGGATTTACAAAGCTTCTTCAGAAGGAAATTATGCTGAATAGCAGATGTGACTGGCCCCAGACTCACCCTACAGGGGCCAGGACTGATAACGAGGCGATGTGAGCCAAAGATATCTAAAGTCACCCAAGAAATGACTCATTTCTAAAAAATGAATGTCCCCTAACTGGCACTCAGTAATATTATGCAGTTTATATTTCTAAAATATGTTTGTTGTTGTGCAAAATTATGAAAAAATATTAAGCTGTTAAAAATATACAGTAGTGTTGTAGAGTTGAGATAATTCCAGTTAATTTGCCAAAACATAGTTGTGGTTCTAAAAAATTTAAAAACTGCAAAGCTTTGGTGATAAGCCACTCTCTAAGAGGGTAAACAAATTTAATATAATTTTCCAGTAACACTCATTTGTATTCTTCTGCCAGGATTCTTACAGCCTGATAATATCACCTAGCCCACTGGATCCGGACCCTGAACCCATTAATCTCTAGAATGTTGATCTCTGTAGCTTACCTGGAACACACAGACACCTGTAGCTGTTGCCCACGCTGCGGCAGACACCATGGGCGCAAGGATTCAAGGTGCAGAAGTCCACCAACTGGGCACAGGTGGGGCCGGTGAAGCCTGCTGTACAGCTACACCCAAATCCCAGGGGCCCAGGGCCCTGGGCATAGCAAGTGCCATTATTATGGCAGGGGCTGGAGGCACATGGGTCCACCTTCTGCTCACATGTTGCGCCTTGATAGCCTATGAGATTTTAGATAGGTGAAAGATGGAGTGGTTCCTTTTAAAATTGCTGGAGTGATGATTTTATATCAATGTGAATTAGAAAACAGAGGTGCACATGCAGAACATTTGTTTACTTTGTTCATTATAAGGATTTATGTTTACAAAGATATAAGAAAAGATATAAAAACGAAAATATTTTTTAAGGTTCGAAATAAAGTCCCATCTTTGTCCAAATTGGTAAGGTTGATAAAAATGTTTGTGATTGTGTTAATATTTAATTTTAGAAATTAGCCTCTTTTGGATTAAGAAAAATTCCCAAAGATATTTAATCAATTTGCACTCCTCTATAACTAATCACCAGCTTTAGAAGCCTGCGTGTGTTTTAAATAGTTGCTCTCCTCTGTGAAGACCCCTTCTCTCATTTTGATAACAATCTGCACAGCTCTTCTCATTACCTCCAAGTCATTCTTCTTTGTTTCTAAAAATAACCTTTCCTTCTCACCTTTTCTCTTCATCTGTTTTCTCATCTGCTCCAGGCCCTGCTATTGTAGTGCAGAGAGGATAGTGCATGCGATGTGTTGTGTTGTGTGTTCCCTGATTTATAGAAAACACAGCAGTAAATCCCCTGTGCTGACTGCAGAGAGCATGCTCCATTGAACTAATGAAGATATCTCCCACAAGCATCCATTGATCTGCAGCACTATATTTCACTTTGTGTGAGAACATTCATCATTTAGCAGCAGGACAGGAACAATGTACGGCAGCTCTTTTTTTCCTAATATCACTAGCAGGATTTCAGCATAAATTTTCTTCCTGTGTTTGTTAATGCACTGCTAAATTAACAAATTGTTCATTTTTCCATTAGCATTGCTCTCTCGGTTTACTTAAATATAATATCTCTGCCTTGTCATCTAACTTCAACTAATTTGGCAAAGATGGAAAGTTGCTTTTTCTTTCTTCTACACTTGACACGCACACACACACACACACACACACACACAGACTCCTAGTTAACAGAAGGAGGCCTATGTATTGCTGCCTCTGGCTCTAAAACCTGCCAGAAAGTTATGTGTTATATTTAGCCATGCAGCTCACTCCCCAGAATATCTTTTTCTGACTGGAGGCAAACTACAGATACAGTTTTCACATTCTCATACTAAAAGTGACCGTTAGGAATATTGCAGCAACAACAGTTTAAATAAACTTGCAAACATTCCAGGAAATGAAATAAATAACAATTAAGGTTTTAATAAACTCCCTAACCAGGGAAAGGCAATCAAAGGGTTCCCACCTCGACATTGTCTAGGGTGGCAAAACAAGGAGACATAAAAGACCAAAGTGTTTAGCTGATTTCCTCTGAATTCAAAAGGCTGGCATGAAATCCCAGTGCAAAAGGACAGTATTATTAAACTGTACGGGAAACAATATATTCTTTCTCTGACATGTTGAGGTGCAAACTGTTCCTTGTTTTCTGTAACTTTGGTTTGTGAAAGTTAAAGAAAACATGACTACATAGATACAGCATTGGAGTGTGACGCTGTCCTTGGTGCTTATAGCAGGATTCTGAGTCCTCATTTCAATGCAGGGTTGACAGCGCAGGAGTTATTAATAAATATTATTGACTTTATTCTTGTAAAATTCTGCATTTAAAATGTAATGTCGTTATTCTTGGTGGTATATTCACATTATTCTCGTAGCTCTACTACTTTATTGTCATAATATCACAGCATTGCAAAAAAATATTCTCTTTTGTCTGGCCCCAATACTCTGTGATAGTATTTTGCAATATTTTAAGCAAAATAATTATTTAGCAACAGCTTTTTTAGTTTAATTAAAACTTTTGTATATTAACATGTTTTGTGCTTCCTGGCCCCTTTTCAATGTCATAAAACCACTGCTTAGAAGGCTTAACATTATCAGTAATACATCCCTGCTCTGGATTTTGATGCATAACATGGCTCTTTCATTGGCAATAAATACAACATAATATCTGCTACTTTTCATTGTACATAAAAATAGTTTAACTTAATCTAAAGTTTGTCTACAAAAGGAAAATCTTTTAAATGAATATTGTCCCTTGATAATGACCTAATTCCAGGGACTTGAAATTCCAAAAAGCAAAGTCTGAAGGCTTTCAATTTGTCTTTTGTTTAAAATGAGAATCCAGGTAAAAATAAAAAGAATCAACAAATCAGGTGGGACACCTAATGGTTGTGTTAACGAAAATTTGGTCTTTACAGTAGAGTGATTAGAAGAAGACAGCCACATTCATATAGCTGTATGAAGGCAGAGGTTCACCCAATGTTTGACCAGAACTGTCTTAGACTGGTTTAAATAAAATCATATTCATATTAGAATGGCTCAAAGTTCAGACCTAATTGTAATGCAATTGAGAATGTGTGGCAAGAATTTAAATAGTGTTATTATCTTTCCACTCCTGAATAAGGCTGAACTTTGTGTTTGTCTGTTATTTAGATATTAGTTAAATCAATTATCTGTTTATATAATTTTTCTTTTTTGTTCAAGTGATTGAATAGCTCTACAGAGCACCTTACCATAATAGTAGCAATAAAAGCAACTTTTTATGGGAAAATAGGGCAATTTATGAAAATGAGAGCTTAATTATAGGTTTTCTGAAAGGCAGTCTGAAAACTGTTATTGGAGCATCTTCTTAGGTTTTTCTTTAAGAATGTGGAAAATATCTTTATAGTAAAAGAACCACCTGAAAATAAAAGAAACGAAAGAAGAATGAAAATGAGATCGCTGCAGGGGGATTCAACTGCAGGAGATAAAAGTGTGGCTCCTGCTGGCATCGCTGGCAAAGCGATCGCAGAGCTTATGCCTCTCTGATGACAGCTATTATAGAGTTGTCATGACTTATTGCTTGAGTGTTGGTGCATGTGCAAAAACACCAAAGCATAATTTGGATTTGATTTACAGCATGGGAGAAGAACACTTGACTTGGAACCAATGGAAATCATTTTATCATTCATTTATGTGGTTGATCTGCATATATTTATTCACATGTAAAGATTAAAAAAAAATTGAAATGGTGAGAGCTGTTCCAAACAAAATTTATTTTTGTTTTACCCTTGTGTAAACAAAATGACAAATAAAATATGTCTAAGTCTAAAACTATAAACTGTATTTCTCTTGGATTTTTTTTATGCAATCTAAGAAAGCCACATTTTCTTCAAAAGTCATAAAGCTCTTATTGTATATACAATTAGTTGTGTTTACCACTGTTTCTCTCACCCTACTTATATAATAGGTGTTCCAGTTAAGCTGGGAAAATACTGAACTAACTGTTGGGTATTCTAAGTGGATTAACTAGAAGAGTTTGTCCAACACTAGTAGTTTTCCACTCCTGCTGCTGCTATTAATATGCCCACTTTCATAGATATCTGCTGTGTACACAGTCACATGCATAAACTAACTGCAAACGCATGTGCTCTAGTTGGAAAAAGAAAATGTAGAAGTTTGGCAGTCACAGATTTCCCCAGAGTCGCTGATGCACATCGCTCAGCCTACGAAGACTAATTAGAAAGAACGAGGAAGGTTTAAATTAAGCATCAGCGTGGCACAGATACTCTTAAACTTGCAGCAGATGCTCAGCACGGCAAAAATATTTATGCTATTTTGGATGAAAAAACAAACCTAACGGTCTTTGCTTCCTCCTTTTAGCAAAGACACATTGCTGAAAACACTAGAACAGTTTATATCCACACACCAATTTACCTGGCAGCTACTTTTAAACTTTCTGGTTTAGGTTCACCAGACCCACTCTTGATATCAGTTCCAGAGTATTTGGCTTGTTACCTTCAGGGCAGTAGCACCTGGGTCCAGCCAAGCTGCTGAAGCAGGTGGCTCCGTTCTTACAAGGCTGGGAGAGGCAATGGTCGACCAGCATCTGGCAGCGCTCACCTTCATAACCTGGCAAACACATGGCATCTCATCAGACGGATGGTTTTATATTACCGAAACAGTTAGTAACCACATGAAGGATGGACTGTAGATTAGTTAAAAAGTAGAGTGTAGAGAACTATATGGAAGGGCTTTCTTGTCCAAGAAAATGAATCCACATGCAATGATCACCATGTAGAATTTCAAGCGTTGGATGCAGAGGTCCAAAGCAGGCTGCTACTGTACTCTAGAATAGAGGAGGCGTTTTCTCCACATGGCAGTTTGGTTGACCCATCTTGGTTGGGTGATGGCAAGGGGAGCAATACTTATTTGATTGTATTATGCCAAGTGTAAAGCTTGGTGGAGGAGAGATTATGGTGTGGGGTTGTTTTTCAACGGTGTGTTTGACCCTTAGCCTATTGGAGGTAACCCAGATTTTATGGAAACAGTTTGGAGTTGGACACTTCTTCCTCCGGTATGACTGTGCACCAGTGAATAAAGCAAGATCAATAATGGCATGCATGAGAGTGTTTGATAAATAGTAGCTTAATTGTTCTGCGCAGAGTCCTGACTGTCACTATCCGATCAGTCCCTGAAGCACGATATGTACCATCAGCTCATTTGCACAACCAGACGTATATCTGGGTCACCCTCAATTTTAGTTTGTAAAAAAGACCAAAATTATGTTTATCTGTCCCCAAAAGTAGTAAGAGTACTAAACTATAATGTGTTAAAGGTTCATTATGTATTTCCTAAGACAATAAATGCATTAAAATTCTTTCTGTTTTATCACTCGTCTGTGCACAATTTGAACCGGAAATGGCATCCTACACTACTTCCAGGAGCTAACATGTTCGGCTTTGGATTGAAACATAAATCTAGTCCTTTTGAGTTTTATACTTACCATTTGTGTTAACATTATTGTATAAAGTGCATAATTTAAAGAAAGAAACAACTAAAATGCAGATAAACATGGTTTAATCATATTTTGCCGGACTACTCTGAGCATGTCCAACGATGATGTCAGACAAGCAGTTTAACGGTCTCAGAAAAAGTCATAAAACATTTTTAAAGATGTATATTAGGATTCTTTAGTGATTTAAGGATAGAAATAAGTAATCTTAGTACCATAATTACATTATTTATTGAAACCCGGATGTATATCTGGTTGTGCATGCGCAAATGAGCTGATGGTACGGATCATGCTTCCGGGACGGATCGAGTAGTGAGACTGACTTAATCTTATAGAAAACCTTTGGAAAGAACTAGAGCAGAGACTGGGAGCCAGAGCTTCTAGTCCAACATCGGTCTAAAACCTCAGAAATTAGCTTCTGGAAGAATGGTCAAACTTTCCATAATTACGCTCCTAAACATTTTGGAAATCCCTCCTAGATGAACCGAAGCTATAACAGCTGCAAAGGGTTGGGTCAACATCTTATTGATTCCTATGAATTTAGAATTCAATGTTACTTGAATTAATTTGCAAATCAAGGTAAGTAGGTGAACACATTTATCAATAGTGTGGGATTCGATGGTGGGAAAATGTTGCACATTTGAAATAAAATAAATCATCTGCATACATTATAAATCATCCTTGAACATTTGAATTGTTATATTTTTTGCAATTGTTGGATTACCATAAATAACATTTCTGTATCACATGGACAATAAATAGTAGCTATTTCTGATCCTACATTAAGAATATTTTCTTTTTAATCATGTATGTTTTCCTGAATGGGATTAAAGCTAAACAAGCTAATTTAAAGTGTAATAAACCCAATGTAAAAGTATTAAAAATTACTGACAAATTATAAAAAATGTTTGTTTGTTTTTTCTTTTATTGTTATGGATGTACCAGTGGCTAGACATTAAAAATAAAGTGTAAGATTATCCACCATAGGGAAGCCAGAATGATATCACCTTACTGTGGGCAGTAGCCTGGCAGAAGCCATCCTCCAACCTGCAGAGTGCAGCGCTTAGATATTAGGCCACATATTTCAAAATTAAGAGAGCTTACTTGGTAATGCCCAATTTACAGTTTATCTAGAAAAAAAGTTTATTGATGGTTAAGATGGTTCATCAATTTTTAAAACTTGCTTGTTTGCACAATGAACCTTTGTGTCCATTGATTATAACCCAATCAGACGCCATTGTTTTTAGAGCCATTAAACACAACACCACTCTAGAAAATATCTGTCACAATGGAAAGTTCACGATCAACTTTGAACTAAGAAGTGTTTTCATAATGAAAATTAGATTAGAATCAACAGAACCACAACTTAGCTAAACACCTGAAAATGAACACATTAAAACACGTGAAATGGATTAATACGTTCAAACGTACCTGGTTGGCAGGTACAGGTGAAGTTCTGTCCCTCGCCTCCTTGTCTGACGTCAGTGCAGGTGCCGTTGTTACGACAAGGCCGGTGGTGGCAGGCATCCAGCTCTTCACAAAATATTCCAGTGTAACCATCGTCACACTCACAGAAGAAAGTGCTCTGCAGGTAGATATCAAGCACATGTTAAATGCGTTAGGGCGTAACAGTGATAGAGAAGAAGAGAAGAACATGGCAAACTGAATTCATGAATCTAAAAACTGTAAAATGATTCAGTGGCAAAACACATCAGTCAGCAGAGACAGTCTGATCTTCGCCACTTAGATGGGTGTTACAGCAAAAAAACAGATATAAAAAGAGTCTGAATCTGTTTAGAGATAAAAATGCTGGTACTGCTTTAGCTTTTGCTTCTTTTAGGGAGATAAACTTAACAGTAAACTTTCAAGAGCACATAGCCAAATGTTGACTTTCTCACTTTTTGTTACATTTATAAATTGGTGTTATGTGTGGCAGACAAACACATTTAGCTTATAACTTCAGGGAAAAAACTAGTGCAAACATAAAAAACTTTTTTTTTTATGTTTGCTAAACAAATATTCTGAAAAGTTTAGCCACCTCATAAATTGATAGCATCTGAGTCAACATTTTGTAGCGACATCGTTACCTGCAATACAGCTTCACTCATTTTGGGAAACATCTTTAACAGCTCTGCACATCCAGAGACTACATTTGTTTTCCTTTTAAAATGAAGTAAATGTGGGTCAGATTTGATAAAGTGCAGACAATCTTTTTATAAGAAAATAATTGGATTGCGGTTTGGACTGTATTCTTCAGGTCTGTGTTTTGGGCCTGCATGACATAAAAACAAACATTAATTTAATGATTTTGCTAAATTTCTTCTTTCTAGTTTACATTTTTACTATAGGGAAAGGAATTAGTAACATGCTATTGTAGCCTGCTTTGCTCACATTGATATATTATGATTACATTATAGAAGAACTAGGCAAAATCCTCTATGCTTACTGGGTTATTTTTATATTTACCTCATTGCCAGACCTTTGAATGCAACAAATCAGTCTTGCAGAGATACATTGTTTTCTTACAAAATCTTTTGGCATAAAAATTTGAAGGACCTCTGATACAATACTATGAATAGTTAGAACATGGTGTGCTTTAAGTCATCCAACAAGTGCAGGAAGAACAGCCTGCTGGAAGAAAGGAGTGGTTCTGTGTAGGACGTATTGATATTTTCATACCAGAGAACGATTGCTTTGAAAGTACAGACCTTTGCCATTTCTGCGAATTCTCACCTCAGAGGGCTGCGTGACGCATTTTCCTTTCCCAGAACATTGAGGATCACTGAAGCTGCTGCCAGGTTCCACGCAGCTGCTGGCCTTTACTGTTAGGTTAAGACGTAGCGTGACCTCTGGAGCTGTGGGAGCGCCAACACGGATCACACCTGCCACACAAAGGAAGAAAGCCTTTGTGCTTAAGAATTTAAAAGCTTTGCTTTATTTAGATATACTTGCAGAAGACAAGTCAATTAATCTTTAAAATAGCATTCATTACCACTGCAGTAATTCACATGTTTTCCCTTTAAAATCTTAAACTGTATTAGAATATGGTGGGATTAGATAGGACAGAAAAATAATATATTGTTATGAAGGTTTTTTTTCTTTTCATTCTGTCTTAATACAGATCTTACGGGTGTGGGCAAGACATTTAACCGCTGTACCCAAGGACCGCTGTGGCTGGATGTAGCTGGACTTAAGTGAAATACGAATCGAGGCCATTTACCTTTTACATAAAATCTATTCCAGTTGATATGTTCTAATAGACAATCAAATCATCAGACCAATAAATGAACCTTTTTATTATTTTCCATTAAGCTTAATGGACAGTAGGACCAGAGCACTGCAACTTTCAAGTGCGTCTCAGCTTCAACACCTCCCTCATAAATAAGCAAATCTGTAAAACTCTGCAGAGCCTGACTGCATGCTAGAGACCTGTTTAACGAAATGACTCAGCATTCGTTGCAGAACAAGAGCCCTTGAGGATTTCAGTTAAAGACAGCTTGTCTCTCAACACCTGTATAAAGTTGGGGGGTTATCTAAAGGTACTTAATATAATAAGTACTTGACATAATAAATTAGACTCATTGGAGCATATACTCCAATTTATTGAACTTCAATATCAAACTTACCTTTTTTGTCATGGATTCTATACTGGATTTAACCCCTCAAAACCCACCGTTTTAAAGCGTTTCCAAATAATAACTCAGAATGCATGAAAATTACACTGGTAAAATGTTTACCAATATAGACATGTTAGATCGTTGGAAAGCTTAGATTCTCAACAATTCAACCACATAGTTCATTTTATGGATATACCAAGCACCAAAGGACAATTAACACAGATATAGCAGCATGTCACAATGTACCATGACAAAGCAGCCAAAACAAGCAGGCATCTCTTTATAACTGCTGTTCAAAAAAGACCTATTATTTTCAAGAATAAAAAAAACAACTTTGAGTCATGTTTGAACTGATGCAGCTTGTGTTTAATGCAGCTGGGGTGTTCTACTCACCCAATTTTCATGTATATATTCAGAAAATAGAGGGTGTTAGCTTTCAAATAATGTATCACACATGTAACTTGGGCTTACAGTTCCTAAGTTATTTGCTTTTCCATTTGGGTATGCAAAATAGGCGAGAATTTCCCAAAATGAGATTGATATTAAGAGGTTATGGCTGTACATGCACTAACTTCTATCTAGAGTTGTCCATCATGGCAAGATCAGTTTTTTTCAATATTGCAATATCAGAACTGCAAATGACTGCTTCAAAACAAAATTCTGTGTCATGTTCTGTGTCACTCCCTATCAATAAAACAGTCTGTGCCTTACGGAACACAACTCCCAGTTTTACTCAGTAAAGCAGACACCCTGACAACTTGTTTTCAAACTTTTCTTTTTGAAGAAGCTCATAGTTTCAGTGAAATATGATATGCTGAGCTATCTGTAATTGTGCTGCTATAGGGTTAGTCTGCTTGAGACATAATGACCACTTTCCCTCGCTCTGCTACTTTTTCCTAATACTCTTTTTATTTATTTTTTATTGTCTTCTGCAATTTCAACTTTTAACTTTATATGCTATTTTTCTTGTTATGTTACATCTGGCCTGGTGTTCTGATCAGCTTTGACACTATCCTAGGGGGGGAATCTGCTGTAGCTGCTGCTGCCAGTGACTTCATGTTCTTCCTCTACAGAGGATAAACTTGGTCCTGTCATTGATTAGTTAATCCTATCTCTCTCCTTGACATTAACTTGGCTAAACTTTTCTGGGACTGACTGATGTGCTTTTTTTCATCCAATGGACTTGGAAACTGACTCAAAGCTAATCTGTTTGAGTCTCCTTCCACTAGAGGAGCTAATACTGCTGTTAAAATGAGCTTTTCTCTCACGAAGAGAGTACAACCTGATCAGCTCTCTGTGTTATTTTTTGCCACTTTTCCATCAGTACCTAATCTATTTAGGTCGGGACTCCGGTCAACACAATTTGATTCATTTACTATTACAGTGAAGTAGCATTTCAGTGGGAGCTGATCAATCATTTCAAGGTGGTGCGAGAGGCCATGCAGACCTGTAAGACAAGGTTGGCTAATGCTTCATAATGCTAATGTAACCTAATTCTAGCTTTATATAATAGTGCTAATACACAATAATCCCACCATAAAATCATTAAATAGTTATTCCTTATCAAAACATGCTGTGACTAGTGATGTATGCCCCAATCAGTGAGGTACATTCCTCTGACTTTGTTTTGAGTACAAGAAGCACAGCAGACAACCAGGAACTAAAGATAGTAATGGTTCCATGAAACCATTAGTAATGGAAAAGCTAAAAAAGTGAATCATCCCATAGCAAACTGTTCTTATGAAAAAGGGAAATTTGTTTGTATGCTCTGTCTTCTCGAACCTCCAAAAAGTCATGGTTTGTTCCTATTACAGTGGATGTCCTTTCCACATGTCATGATCATGGCTCTGAGGGTTGGCCTAATTGCTCATTTCATTCACCTACCTAACTCTGTCCGTTTTCCTATTACTGCTTATCTAATCCACCTGCTTATATATATATATATATATATATATATATATATATGACTCACTGCCAGCCATAGGGGCCAGATCATTGAGGTTGAGATTATTGTTGTTGTTCTTGTTTAGGTTCTCATTCTCGGGGGCCAGTGGTGAGAGAAGTTTTTAGTGTTTTGTGGTGTTCCTGATTTCCTGATCTGCCTCTTATCCACTGAGCGTACCCTGTCCCTGTATTGGAGAGAGCGAGTTTATAGCGTACTGTAGTTTTCCTGATCTCCTAACCTGTTCTGCCTCTCAACCACTGTGCTTGCCTGTTCACATCTGGACGTTCTTTCTGAGCTCTCTGTAGACTCCTGGAACCCTGAACAAGCCTGTTCATGTTCCAATCGGTATCCCTGATAGGGCTTTGGACTCCTGTACCTCTGAGCCTTCCTGTTCTGATCTGTTTTGCAGACCTGGCTCGGACTCCTGCTTGCCCTCTGGGACTGCAGCATTGAGGACACTCTGGTTGTAGTTGGCAGCCTTACGGCTAGATCCTATCATTTTCTATAGAGATAGACTGAACAAGAGTTTTCAGTGATAGGCCCAGCCGCAGCTGCTGCAGATCCGCAGATCCACCTGAGATTCAGTTTAATAAATGCTTTGAATTATCTCACTGTCTGTCTCGCCTGAACTCTGGTTCCTACGTTCTGAGTCTGTTACCCCACCGTCACCACCTGTATGCTCCGTATACAACATATGACAATACAATGCAAGTGACTGTTAACAGTAAGTACAGACTTATCAAGGGAAAGTCAATGCGACAAGAATCTGGCTGGGTTTCCTTAAATTGAAAACGTTTTAACCAATCTGCTTGCATGATTTCACTGAACTGACTTTGTGCCTTGATTTGACGTGTTGTAAATATCAAATCAAGATTGATTTGACGTGTTGTATGTAAATAAGAACTTTAGAAAACAATTGTGAACCATTCTGATTTTTTTTTTTCTATTTAACATCCTTCCTTTTTAACTGCGCCTTAGCAATCTGAAAATACATTTTTTGGTTTCCATCCATAAAAGTTTCTTTTATCCCACTCAGCTGTCCTTTTAGCACATTAGGGAGATAAACTATCATAGCAAAGATCAATTTAACACTTTCCCTGAGATGCTACTGTTACTCTTAAGATGTATCAAAAGACAAATGGATGGAAACCAATCTTTAAATTGTTCTCCCATGATGCCTCTCTCTGGATCTGTAAACTTCAAACATCTCTTTTATTATGTGTTCAATCAAGGCTGACAGTTTCACTGCTGCTCGGATAAAAATAGCACCAGAGTAAAAAGCAGGTGCTGTTTTATGGAATCTGACCCGGGCCAATGAACTGAATGTCCACCAGTGATGAAGCAGTGATGTCAGTTTGCCCCACCAATCAGAACTCGGATGGCTCCGAGCACGTTCCTCTGTCATCGTCTGACTTAATGATCATTAAACCCAATGACAATGAAAATTGGACCTGCAGAGTCATTTTGGCTTCAACTGTAAAATCAGAATAGTAATAGCAGGTTTATCTTAAAGGTAAAATTTGATAGATCCTGGTGTGCAAAGATGCACACCAGAAATGGATGCAGATGAATATGTTGTGAACATTAGTCATACACGATTAAGCCTGGCGCCTGTAAAAAACAAATCACATAAACCAATTGTGTCTCATAATTTGACCTTTTGTCTCTGCTGCTGCATCATTTGTCTTGCTGTCCTTCCCTATAATCCCTTTCTGCCTTGTCGTCTCCTCTTTGCCCCCATTTTCTTATCCTAATCCTTCACACCAGCCGTCCATTCCTCCTTTTTTTCTTTTTAATTCATCTTAACAATTTCATTCCCTCTTGAGCAGAAGTGATGGCTGCCACAGAGGTAGCAGAAATGAAGGTCAGCTGTCAGACAGGAAGTACATGAAAACAGCGCCATGTATGTAGGGCGCAACAAAGAGGTCAACCAGCCCTTTAATTATTCCCCGGTTTCAGTTCCTACTGCAGCTCTACAAGAACTCAAACACCCCAAAACAGCAGCATGAAAAAAGCTCAAATATAAACTTCAAGATGGTGATGTAAGATTCTGACTCTTTGATTCTAAGTTTTCTTTTTCTCCTCACTGAAATGCAAAAATAACACTGCAAGAAGTAAAAGCTATTAAAACTGGATGGCCATAAAATTATGTTATTTCCTTGTCTTGTTAAACTGATTTGATAATTGTCCTTTTGTTTTGGAATTGGAATGATACAGTTAGGATACACACAACTTTATAAAAGTATGGACTCTAATAAACTTGCCAGGGCCTTTAAAAAAGAAATACACCCAAAGCACTACATATCTTCTACCGTGTTTAACGAGTGGACTTATATCTGTAATTAATGTTGCTGAAAATCTCAGTCTTAAGCTTGGTTTATGCCTGATCATTGTGGTCTAAGGTATTCACTGCATCCACAAAAAGTACAGCAGAAATTAGGCTGGCAAATTCAAAAAATATACCAGCAAAAAAAATGTGCTTATTACACATATATAAAAACACATGCCAAAGCGTTTATTTATTTATTTTTTTGTTTTGTTTTGTTTTGTTTTGCTTTGTTTTTCATGCTCAACATTACAAAAACCTGGTAGATTGTTCCATTAGTGATAATTGTTGCTGGGTTGGACCAATAACAGCAGTCAATGACCGATGCACGGCCACGGATGTCAATCAATCAATTAACACAGAGAGAGGAGAACTCAGAAAATATTGGAAAGAAGCATGAAACAAAAAGGTGGCGCCAAAAATAAGATTTAAACCCTTCAGGCAGATGCTGCCAAAAATGAAGAGCTAACCCAGGTGTTTGCAGGTGGAGTCTACTGAGGCAGCTGCAGGTGTTTATGGAAAGAGAACCACAGCAGTGGCCGGTCCATTTGTGGGGAAATCTGAACTTCGCTTAAGAAGTGATGAACTACAGTCTGCTTGGGTCAGATATGAAGCAAGTTTTTAGTTAGTTTATTTTGGCTTTGCTTGCTTATTCTTAACACAATCAGTAGTTAGATGTAAGGAGTTTAAGACAAGGGATAATAGTGATCTTATTACTTCATTAACATTATTCTTATTCATTCATTTAGTTAAATTCAGTCTTTATTAGTTAGGTTTAAACATTATAGTGTTTATTAATTGATATATGCTCACTATGTGGTATTTTTCTCTACTCAGAAACCACTAAAGCTCAAATGATTTGGCTGTGATTCATCATTAATATTAAAATATCCCCCTAATCCTGCTGTTTGGAGTGCTAGAAACATGTTCCTCACATTGTTTTGCTCCTGAATGCACCATTACATCAGTATAACATGTAAATCACTCCCTCAAATCCTGTATTTCACATTCGGTGTGAACACATTGTTCTTGTATCCCAAAGCTCTACCCAGCTCCTTTCAAATTGTTAACAGCATAAATCAAACCCCCTATGGTTACGTCTTTGAGAGTGTGACAGAAAATGCAGACATCATTAGCAGGTTTGCATTTTGACACTATTTCATGGTTGCTGTTGGGCTGTGGGGAACCCACTCTCATCTAGGTCTGTTTGTCGCTATTTTAAACAGGTTGTTAACTGCAGATCTGCATAACTTTAGAAGAGCAGCTAATTTCATCAAATTCTCTTAACTTTAGAAGATCAACACGCATATGGCTTAATTAAATGACCTGGTCTGTTGTCTTTCCCATTTTTTGAAACGTAGTCACAGGGAATGCCGCTCCGTGTGATTTCTTATTCGTACCAAAAAAAAGCAAAAAGTTCACAAATTAAATTTAAATGTCTAAAGTGACAAAGTGAGTCTTAGCACTTGTGAGCTGGTTAGAAACGATAAGTTTTTAACTTTTGTGTTTTCCTCTCTACCAATTTATGTACTCAAATATTGATGGATTTCCATTGTTTAAAACATGACATTTTGCTAATGCAAAAACATAATTAATTTATTTTAAACCTTTTTACATATATTTAATGTATCACTGATCACTCGTCCATAAGCTTGTAAATTTAAAACTGTGTTCTGCTTATTGATAATTATCAGACATTAACCAAGCAATTCAATGCTGTTCTTTCACTTTACACTCCACAGGTTGGTCACTGTTATCCGTAGTTAGAAAAGACTCACTAAGAAAGTAGTTCTGTCCGAGGGGCAGCAAACGGTCTGGAACCACCAAACCATCCGGGGCCTGCAGAAACCATACGGTGGTGCCGTTCAGGATAGAAGAACGAAGAAAACCCTCTTCACTGACACGCCACAGCACCGGGGCTCCATTGGCATTCACCAGCACCCTAGTGCAAGGGAAAGAAAGAGGAAGGAAAGGGAGCATTTAAAAATATCAAATTTAGCATTTTCTGCTGTATCACCAAATAATTTTCACTGATATCCTTTTTATTACCAGTTTTCATTTTATCCCTACAGTTAATCCATATTTGAACCCCCTTTGTTGATAGACAGTCATGCTTTGCATTTGTTCTTACCATTGGCATTTGAAGCATAAATGTGCCTCGCAGGGCAAATGTACTTCCCCTCACCTGAAACACATCCTGGGTACTTTGAGGTACTATTTGATGAATTACATTACCTAAGTACTTCCAGTTTAATGTAGAGTTGGTTTGTTGGTTGTCTGTAATCAGGAGTTAATGCTTTTCTTATTGCTCGTTTCTGTAGGATTTAGATTCTGCATTTGTTTTATAAGTACTTTCCTATACTTCAAGTAGGGAAGTGTAAAGAAATAGCACAAAATGTTTAATCAGGCTAGTGGTCCGTTTAATGAAGCAGGGGTAAAAAATTCAGATTCAAATCTGCAACTCTAAATCGATCCAGCCAAAAGTCGGGAACTCTGAATATTGGGTTTCACAACGGCTGCTATCAATTAGTTCAATCAATTTTAACTTGGTTCACTCAGAGTTTCACACAAGTATGAAAAGCCATTATCAGTTGAGCGTCGATTCAATGAGTCACCATGACAACAGGCAACAGGAAGTGCCTATTTCACCCCACTGTAACTAGAGATTTAAATGCAGGAATGCAAAAAAATTAAATAAAAAAGGAAAATGTGTTTTAAAGACAGACAAACAGCGCTACAGCTACAAAGGAGAGGAAGGTGGCAAAGGAGAAGATTGTTGCTCGAGTTAATGTGTAAGTTTATATGAAGTGGACTACGGCAGGCCGTTATTACATTTATTAAAAGCACTCCTCTCTGTTGTTCTATTTCTAGATTACTAAAATAAGACTAATAATATATTTTCTAATTCACATTTTTGTAGCAGAAACTGAATTTCCCCCGAAATCCCTTGATTGTCCCACAAAATTCAACACTGAAAGTTCTCTTTACACAGTAACCATGAGTTGTTGCAGATTTTCTCCACAACAAAATACTGTTGTGTCATCAGCTAACAATAGAGAACTTAGGTTTTCCCAAGTCAAATTTTTTTTTTCCCTGTACAAAAATAAACAAAAAAGGGTTCAACACTGACCCCTGGGGGACCCCACGGATAATAGTTTGTATTTGAAATCTAGTTTAATTTATTGTTTTCAGTCCATTAAATAATTTATTTGTATGCTATTCCTCTAATTCCTACCTTTGTCATTTCCTCATTATTAATTCATGGTCAACAGTAGTTTCACTTTTAATTTTTTTTTAACAGTACCTATAGTCTTTATCTCATCTTTTATGGATATAGTTTCTTTAATATCTATTCACTTACCCCCTACAGTCTGATAGTTTCCAGTGTTTACAATACAAGGACAACATTCACAAAGTATTTATTGATTCATCTGCAGCAAATTTCAGATGAATGGTCTCTCCATTATTTTTCAATTTAGTCTTTGTTTCCATAAATTTTCTAAATCATATTGTTAAATATATTCCATGTATTTTTAATTCTTTTTAAAAAAATATCTAAATCTGTTTATTGTCCCACAATGGGGATATTTACTAATTGAACTGAGTACTTGCAACCTTCTCAGAGCACAAGTGCACTGCTCTAACCACTAGGCCAAAACTCCCTTATATAACTACAATATTATACTGTTTTTTACTGTTTCTGATCATCTAATCTTCTTTTTTTGGATCTATATTCAGCCTTCACAGTTCTTGTACTTAAATAATTGTTGTACAGTATAGTATATTTTTCCTCCTGTATGCATTCAGGATTCCTTTGGTTACTCATGGCTCATTTATATGAATTTGTATAGTAACTTTTTCACTAGTGGGCAATGTTTCCCAAACGTAATAGGATAGATAAAGAGGCCTCATCTGTGTTTTCCACCAAAACAGATTTCTTCTTTTAACCTATTAATTGTTTGTTTTTTTCTGTTATTTGTCTTATTATGAGAATAGCTTTGTGGCCTTTCTTATTGATTGTATTTGTGCAGCTGTGGATGATTGCAAACATCTGAAGGAGGTCACTAATATTGCTGATTAGCCCACTCACTATTTTCCCATCAATAATCATGGTTAATATGTTTTCAGTGAGAGTTGCACTATAGGTTGTCATTTTGCTTTGGCTGTAATTGTAGGACATAAACCTGCCCAGCAAATTGGGTTGATGTATTTTGTAGTTGCATTGTGCTCCTGTGGATTTAACAAATCGATGTTCGAATCCCCGCAAATAAAACTGAGCTTTTTATGGTCTAGATGAACTAAAACAGATAGTTTCTTTCTAATAGTAGCAATACAGGAACCAGGTTTTCTATAAATACAACTTACTGCCAAGTTTTTTCGAGTTCTTCATATCAATTTCTATAGCAACACACTCTATCATATTACCCATAACAAATTACATGTTGCCAACTACACGACATCTGTACCTTTTGTCAACATACAGAGCAACTCCCCCTCCCTTTGTTGCCTGACTATGAAGCAACTATCATACCTTTATTCTGTACCCGATCAGTTTGTTCCTTATTTAAACAAGTTTCTGAAATTGCTATTACAGTAAATGGATAATCTAGCGGTTTAAATCAATGTTTGACCTCTGGAAGGTTGCAACTTAAGCTCCTGCTGTTGTAGTGTATCATGGATATTGTTTCATTTATATTTTGGTTTAATTCAATAAATTGTTTTTCTGTGTTGGATACCTGAACAAAATGAAGCCTACATCTACAACTGTATGAAGGTAAAATCAGTTTAAAACATTAAAATGCCACTGTGATAAACCTTTTTGTTTACGCTTTGAAGACTGGCCTTTCAACAGAGGTCTGCAGACTCATTATTTAAAAAATGCTTAACAACTTAAAACCTCTAAATGAAACTAGAGTTTTGTTGCAGAAGTAGAGAAACTCTGAGGTTAGTATTCTGAAAACGGACTACCCAATGTGAGGAAGAGGCCGCATATCATACCAAATACTGCACTAAACCAGAAGCTTGTTGAAAGGAGAGAAAAGATGAGAGGAAAGCTGAAATAAGCTGGATCTTCTCACAGAAAGCCCTCATGAGAGCCAGACAGGGGAGAAAAACGTAATCTGTCAGCTGCAGTTGTAAAAAAGATGCTCAACAGCTCAAGTGAAGCTGCTCCGAATAAACGACGTTAAGAGCCTCTCTAACCTCCTTCCTACACTGAATTCATCTTTTCCATATTAACCAAAACAACTAAAACAATGTGTGATTATCCTCTTAGCCTCCATGTTGTGCATTGGCTCTAATGAGTGTTTACAGCTGATAAGGGCTGTAATTATTATTACCTCTACAGTGATTCAGCTGAAAGGGTTCTGCGGAAAAAAGACAATCAGAAATAGAAGAAGATTTCTATATCTGAAAGGAGAAAGTGATGAAACAGGCAGAATATATTGTTCTATATTAAAAAAAAAAAATGGCTTTATTCTCAGCTAAGAGTTATTTTTTTCACATAGTACCCGGTTGCTATGGGTGGTTTTTTTCTAATAATGATTAAAATAAACATTTGGAAACTGTATTTCATATTTACTCTGGTTTTCTTTGTATTTTAATTTGAGTATTTTAAGCATTTTAGTATGAAAAACAAACCAACAACAGAAGAAACCAGTACTTGAGGCCTTTGACAAATACTTTCTTCTGTGATAACGATTTTTCTTCTTGTAATTATAATGCAAAAAAAAAAAAAAAAAAAAAAAAAACTAAGCAGTGGAGGTTAACTTGCAGCCTTTTTTTCTAGGACCTGTGACGTGCCTCCCATGTATAATAAGGAACATCAAGGACATCCAGGAAATCACCTTGATCACTCCTCCTGCATAATTCATTGACCCTTTGATTACTGGGTAGCAGTTAGACTTTTTTAGGACAACCATAGTCTTTAATGAATTAAGCACAGCTGCACTAAAATGACAAATGTTGGGTCACAGAATTTCTAATGAAAGGATATTAGTGAAAAGATCAAGATGAAAAATGTTTCCTCCAGAAGTTGCTATTTTTATTTCTTCTGTGGGATAATTATGCACAGAACCACCTTTCCCAGGGTTGCAGCTGAGCTGGCACTAAAGATCACATAGTGCCAGCCAAAGACTTCTTTTTTAAGCAACTGGATGCAGCACTTTTTAAAAGCAATGGCAGTCAGTCCTTGGAAAAAAAAAAAAAAAGCTTATTGGGATCCATAGCAGCAGATTTATTAGATGGTCATCTCCAGACTGAAGTTTAAACTGCAGCTGATAAAAACTCTAAAGCGAAAGAAGATGGATTTTCTTGCTTTGTCAGTTTAAAAGCTTCATGATATTAATCTTACTTCACAGCTGTTTCTTCCGGCACCTCCAGAGACAGAGTCAGTGTTCCTGATGTCAGCTCACAGAGCTCAGGACTCACACAGTGCAGACCCTCAGTGACCTGAAGCACAAACCCCCAACACACAAAACAAGGTAGAGTTAATGCTATCAGTATTTAAGACACAGCTTGTTGCATTGATTTAAGAGCATCTAGAAGTAAAAACATGTTGAAAATTAATTTTTCATTTTTTTAAATGAGGTTTAAAAAAACTATGAATCATCTACATAAAAAATTCTGGTATGATTACACCAGTATAAAATCTTTTGGTTATTAAATGCTTATCTATATAATAGAATCAGTAAAACAGTGTTGTTTTTTAATACTTATTTTGACTTGGACAAATTTTAAATATAATTCCATACTTTTACAGACCTTTCGATCAGTAGCAAATAATGCAGCCAAAATCCACACAGAATCCCTGGACTTTAAAAGTACTCTGTGGACTTATAGCACAAATGAACTTTTCAAAAAGTTTAAATACTGTTGGATTTGGTAAAAACTCAAACTTTTAGAAAAGGAAATGTTGGTAGTGGATTGCTGGTCTGGGGCCTCTTTTCTGCTTTAGGATCTGAATGACTTCCCATAATTGATGAATGAGAGTAAACATAATTTTATTTCCCTTGTATGTCTTGTACATATGAAAAAAGTGACAATAAAAGCTGACTTGACTTGACTTGACTTGAATCCATGAATTCTGCCCTCTACCAAATAATCCAAACAATGTCCTGCAAACAATTTCTTGACTTAAGATCAGTTCACTATTTTATGCAGCAGGACAATCATCTAAGGTGCACTTTTAAGAGTGTGTCCTAGTCAAAGTCTGATGCTTAAATCCTATTAAGATTCTGCAGATTGTCTGTAAACTGACCAAATTAGAACAATTCTGCAAAGAGGAACGGGATCAAGTTCCTCCAAATGTAAAAATCATATATCCAGTTTATGCAGAAATTATAGTTTAGTGCAGTGGTCTCAATCATATGATTGATTACCTTTTCAAGCCATTCATTTGATTCAGCTGTGTTGAAGCAGGGATGCATCTACAGTAAAATCTGTAGGACAGTAGATTTTGAGGACCAGGGTTGGAGACCACTGGTTTAGTGCATTGGTTCTCAACCTTATTGGGTCACGACCCCCAATTTAACGTGCACTGCTGTCTATGGCCCCCGATGCTGGATCAATACACTTATGTGTAGGATTTAAATAATCAGACAAGCACTTATGAACTCATATCAGGTATTAGACTCATTATCATCTTATTTTGAAACACACTGGGATTTTTTTTGAAAACATAAAGCAGCATCAAGAGGCTAACTTTCCAAACAGACCAACAATGGTCGCTACATCCCATCATTTTGCAGCTGAAATGTTAACAAGTAACCAAAAATTTTGTGCTAAACGTTAATAACTAGAAAACTGTCCATGTTTAATTTTAAATGTCTATGTTCCCGATAGCTTAAACCTGAAAAATATCTTCCTGGTCAAAAGCAGTATTGTTTTTCTGCAACTATTTAACGTGATGGCTGCGCCTGCTGGTTTGAACAGTTGCTTCTTGGCTTGTTAGAATGTTAGAAACGACCATCACTCTTAAGTCTGAGGAGTTTTGATCTGTATTTTATTTATTTTTATTTTTTTTATGTATTTTAGTGCAGAAAAGGTTTTTTCTGACAAATATGCGAAGGGAAATGGAAACTGTCGATCAATTGCAGCTTTCAACAGTGTTGTGTACTCTGTTGCTACTGACAACCAGAAATCTTCTAACGCGCATGCAGAGAATTAGCATCTGTAATATAAGGTCAGCGAAGAGATCAAGCAGGGCATCCTGCAGCTCTGATGACAGGTGACGCCTGATGAAGGTGGTGAAAGGCCTATAAAGTCGTTCTTTTCTGACAAGTCATTATTGGGGAAGTAGTTATAAAAACTTTCAAATAGGCTCCTCAGGGGAGAAGCAATAATTCCTTTCATAGTTTGACTAATTATGTTATAACTTCATAAAGCCCTCAAGCTCCTGGAACATTTCAATACTTCCTGCAGCCTTCAACTCCAGCTTTCACAGAATGCTGTGACCTTAGTGGACATGTTTGTAAAAAGCCTGTATAAAATCAATGAATCCTCTAATGTCCGGTTGGAAGCTACAATAATTTAGCTGTTTTTGTATTTTTTTCAAAATGATTTGGCAACCCCTAGGAATCGTCTCACGACCCCAATTGGGGTCGGGACCCCAAGGTTGAGAATGGCTGGTTTAGGTTACAGTTCATTTTCTACTTAGTGCTGTGATCGTTTGATTGTTTTACGTAGATACAGTAAATCTACTGGAACTAAGGTTTTAATCTTGTATTTCTCACTCTGTCAGCTTCCCATTGCACCACCAGCAGCCTCTGCCCAGGTTTGGGCTGCCACGGCTGCAGGGTGGGGGGTGCCTCTGTGGTGGTGACTGGGATGGTGGTTGGTTTCTGGTGCGACGTTGTGGCCGTTGTTGTGGAGGTTACCGGCGTGGCCAGCTCAGGAGCAGAGGGGGTGGCGGGGCCCCAGTCGGCGCCGGGCGGCAGGTCCAACAAGATCTGATCGCACCTCTCTCCTTCGTAGCCTTCTGTGCACTCGCAGGAGTAGGCCGGCTCACCCTCCTCCCCGCCTTCGCTCCGGCTGCAGTTTCCATGGAGACAAGGGCTGCTGGCACATGGGTCCGTGAAAAACTGAGATAATGGAGAGAATAAACAACAAAAACACATAACAGAGAACACAGTGGTGTCAAAGTCAGAGGAGGAAACAAGAGGCAAACATAATTATCTCGCTGGGTTCATCACTGCTGTTTACAGCTCGACATCAGCTCCTGGTTGACAGGTTTATACCAGGATGGCAGAAAACATTAAGAAACAGTCTGGTGTTTCTTTCAGATGTGTCAATGATGGTAACGTCTAAAGCTGTAGCACTGTGTGTAGCTACTTATACTGTTGCCTCTCTTTGCAGGCTTTATGCACACCATACTAATCAAGACTGACTTGATGTTTTGTATCTTATTTTAAATATTTTTATTTTATTTTTTATGTTGTTTATAATTGTTACCTGTGTCTGAATTTAAGTCATTGTTTATAGCTGCTGTTTTTGGATACTGACAAGAATAGCTGATTAATTTAGTTAAAACTTTCCACCTAATCAAACAATTCTTTAGTGTAGAAATCGAAGAAAGTTTTTCAAAGTGCATTTATTATAAAAGGACGACACATCAACAAATCCCAGTCTGGCTACCTTAGGGTTTAAGATACAGATAGATTTTTTTAACACAATATTGTGCACCAAACAATGTGTCTGGGCTGAAAGGATGTTTTGATCCAGGATATTAAAACTAGAGGAAAGAGGAGGACGGTCTCCACTTGGCCGCAAATTTAATTCTGATCAGAAAAGATAATGGTTTCTTTTAATGGAGTTTTTACTTTCTATAACTCCTTTTTTGAAACCTTTTTGCTGACATCAGCTGATTTAATTAAATCAACATTAACTCTGTGAAAGCATCTGACTGCAGCAACAGTCAGCATTTCCTCTCTCCCTTTATGCACTGCACGAGCAAAATTCACTTTAGGGCACTTTTTCGGGCCAATTAAATGTTTGTGCAGGAAAAATATTTGTAGTCTGTGGACAAATAAAGCTTGATTAAGTGGAGGCAATCCACAATCTACAAGCAATCAATTGTTACCTAATACATTGTATGAGGGTGATCAAGTAATCAAGTCTGTGGAGAAATAAGCTGAGTCTAATCTGACTACTGAGAAAAAGTTGATCTTTTAAATTACTTCTTCTATTTATTCTTTACTTTACAATCATTAAAATATAGGATATTTGATGCTATTGATGAGGTAGACTGGGTTTGACACAGAGCTTATAAATCCCTCCAAAGGGTGCCAGAGTTACAGGTCTCCAAGCTATTCCTCTCTAACAATATTTGTCTTAAATTCTTTGTCTTTAATGCGAGTCAATCACCTTTTAAAACTTTCATATCTGCTTCTGTGAATGGCTTTTTAAGCCAGTTACATTACTTCAACAGCAACACCATAATAGTTCATATTAGGCTCACTAAACATCACTGAAATACCATAAAAAAAATTGGTGTCTATTATATTTTTCTCAATTTTAAACAATTATGATAACTAAAAAAAGTCAATGCATTTATTCTATAAAAATAATCTACGTTGTTATTTTTTAGATGAAATTGTTAAGGTAATTTTATATCCTTATTTTGTTTTGTTTACTGTGTAAATACCTTGATCTTATGAAATTGTTAACTTTTTACTTACACATATGTTATCATACCCTGAAAATCTCTCACTGGCCATTCCTTTATCTACAGACTTGTACTTTCTTCTGAAAGGAAATTTCATCCACGACGAAGCATTGAGAAAAATGCTCCCTGACAGCCTCCTTCATGCTGGTTTCCCCCATAAATAATTGATCACATTTAGAGAAAACCTTCTGCTACTTTCACTGAAAACAAGAGGTGACAAAACTCACTGCTCAACGCTGCTGTCTCTTGTATACCTTACTTGTTAGATTTAGACTATATGTAAATTGCTGCTTTTTATTAATTGATGCATGAATTGTTGTAGAAGATTGCAATGATGCAGTTCTAATAACCAAGAAGAAAAACAACAGCTTAGAGTCTGGAGGGGGAGAACACAGGCTTTGTAATGATACTCCCAGTGAATCTCCCTTGCTGCGTACAGATGTCAGCTTGTGAATGCACGCTAGTGAGAGAAACAGTGAGTGGCAGAGCAACAAAGACTCGTGAACAGTCTGTTCTCTCCACAGCCAAAGTCACAGCTCATTAGTGCTAATCTGTCTGTGAAGCTTCCACTGTTTGCCCCTCTGACAAACTTTTGAATGCTTTGACAGTCCACCCTCTTGCTTGTACAGTTCTATGCTCTTTTCTCCGCTCGCAGTCTGAATTGATCAACCTTTAAAGGACGACAACACTGTCCTCTTTTTGGTACAGTGAGTCTGACTCATGACCTTTTTCTTGTGTCACTCCAGATTGGTCTCTAAACCGAGCTCCAACAACAAAAAACATACAGTCCAACACCAGGTAGAATAGAATAAGGTCTTGAATTTTATACTGCAGCATCTATACATATATAAGCAGCAAACTCCATTAATGGCCACTTTAAAAAGATCTCTGCAAAATCCATCTCATGTGAGGGAAAAGACTAAAGAAATTATCTTTAGGTTCACGGAGGTGAGTTGGCATCGTTGAGCAGGTTGGTTTAAAAATGCACTCTTAGATTTCAAAATATTCCAGGAAAGTTTCTTAAACAAGCTCAAGGTTGAAAGACTTTGCTTTTTAATGAGCTGGTGGGACTGGTAGAAGAAAACAGCACAAGAGTTTCTCCAGAAGAGACAAGCTAAAAGTATCTGCCAGGAGCCAAGAGCCAACGTAGAACTGGCAAAGGTCTACGTTGAAAACACCACTGGTCTATCAATGGGCAACACACAGACAAACAAACATGCATGCAAACACTCAGACTTCAAGGCTTTCTTAGATTGACCAATTAGGCTTCAACCACTGGGTCTTACCAAGCCTGAGGCAGCCACAAGCCAGATGCTGAGAGCTGCTGCTTTTTTCATCTATTGACACGATGACAAGCAACTGTCCCCATTTTACCAGGGTAATCAGGATGGTTTAAAACAGCAGGGAGACTTTGGAATAATGTAGGACATTTTGCTACAGATCCCTTCATCCTCATCATTTATTTTTGCTCAAATCTATGGCACAATTTAATATAAGATGATGACACATCTATTTCACCTTTTAGTTAGTCAACTTGCATCTATATCAAGGGGTATGCAGAGGTGTAATAAGTATTAATGTTTATTACTCAAATAGAAGTATAAATCCTACTGTTAAAACACTTTCGTTGAATTTACAGTATAAACTTAAGCTTTTTAAACAAGTAAAAGTGTAAAAGTACCAATGTTAAAACTACTTAAAGTATTAAAGTAAAATGAATGCAGGGCACGATTTAAACCTTATACTGCACTCGCTATTAAAGGAACATTTTTCTACAACTCTGGATGATAACTTCCTTATACTTAATTTTCTTAGTTTTATAACTAATGGCAACAGTGTCAAATTTAACTTTGGTTCATCTTGAAAAACCTATCAGTTTTGGTATGTTGTGAACAACAAGTTGGTGCAGTACTGAGTCCGACCAAGGGAAATTAATTTTCCAGATGAAACAAATTATTTTGATGATTTTTAGTTTTTTTAAATACCAACAGCACCTAATAAAAATTAGCTGGAAACAAAGAAACTGTTAGGAATCCAGTTTTGTGTGGGATGTTTTTGTGTTTCCCTCTCTCCAACACCAGGTGGTTCCCTGTCCTCGTTGGCCCTCCCTGCACACCTGTGGCTCGTTGGATCATCACTGAGGAGTATTTGAGCAGCAGGCTGTCACTACCTCGACCCCAGAGTGTTTGCCAGTTTTGGGTACTCTAGCCAAGCTGAGATTAGCAGAGTCTAACCTAAGCTTTGTTTCTCTGAGTCTTATGTTGTTTTTTTTTGTCTTTGCTCTTCGGCAGGAAACCTTCCTGTGAAACTGGAGACCTGGACCTTCTCCCCCTGGAATGATTTATTGAGTACACACTGAGCAGGGGAAAACCTTCACATGATCCGTTCAAGTCCCCATCGGAAAACGAAGTGACAGTCTGTTCCATTACTCCTTTGGGTCCAATGAATGTCTACCTGTCCGCTCTCCTACGAGTCCCCTCTTCTCTAGATTAATCCCACACAGACTGGATTCAAGGATTGACAAGAGCCCCCTCAAACGTGAGTCCCTTTCCTGCATTATAAAAGCCTCAGTCAAAATTCCTACGGTCCCTGAACTGATCACAGTGATCTCCCCTTCAGACTTTCCAGTTCTGGTTCACCAGTCCACTGAGTTCCAGATCCAACCTCTGTTATTCAGCTACACTTAATAAACCTGTTAACCTTTTCCCTTGGTCTCTGAGTGGTTCTCTGCATGTGGGTCAGATACCTTAAACCAATCATGACAGAAACAAAATTAATGAGTCAATTTTTAAAATGTAAAATTTGTACTTAAGGAAGGTAACAAAGTAAGCATTGTACTTTGTTACTTGACATCTCTGGGGGTATGAATAATTTTGGGCTTACTGTATATTTAACAACATCTTGAAGCAATAGGTGTAAAGTACTACTAAATATATAGAAACCACCTTTTTTGTTGACCTATGCATTTTATGCTGTTATTAATATTCCTGCATTTAGCCGTGTCTGTGTCTTTATTTCGTTGTTGTTGGTTAGTATGCTCCAGGCTTCGGCAAAACATATGGATCAATTTCCTCTGAGGGGCGGATAATAACCACTTTATCTATATCCCTCTACGCACCAACAAACACAACAAAGAGATCCTCTAAGGCCAAATTAATGGCTTCGCCAGGTGATGTGATCCACTTTCTAATTTGAGATGGTGGCCCCAGAGGAGGAGGAATCAATACAACCATGAAGAGGAAAACAGCAACACTTTTCACTTACAGACTAGATGGGTTCTTTTTAAAGAGGGTTGAGCTCTTGCTCCTTTAGATTTAGTAGACACACAGAGATGTTTCCTGGCGGTGAAATGTATTTTTACTTGTACTCATTTTTTATACAGCTATTCTTCACACTGTGATTTAATTAGACCATATT